AAGTATATCCTTTCTTCTCCATCCCATGGCTGCTGTCATTTAGATTGGGGTGGTGTGTGGGTGTCACAAAGTCAGTCCTGCATGGGGCAGGCAGGTAAGTGAGTGAGGGGTGATGAGTATAAACACGGACCGTCTCGGTCCATGATTTGTTTTCAAACTTTTGATAGAGATTTGGGTTCAGTAAATATTTCATTTTCCTCTTGATTCTCTGTAAGTTTTTTTTAAAAAGCACAAGAGCAGTAATAAATGACATTGACACTCCACTTTAGAGAGTGATAGGCAGAGGTGGGGACGCTGGTGACCCAGAGCGTGCACGTCTCATCTAAGGGACCAGCCCCAGCCAGGTGACTGTTGCCCTGCAGGAGTGTGGGCCCACGATTGCCAGATCTTCTGATTTTTCAAGAGAAGTTGGAAATCAGGTTGATTTTGATACGAAATCTCCCAATTCATAAAAGACAGTTTAAAAATACTGTGTAGGCCAAATAAAACATCTGCAGCTAATTTTGGCCCACAGACTCTTCTTGGTTTTCAGCCTCTGGTTTCGACCCTCACCACCTCTTGTTTAGACTGGCAGTAGTCTTGGTCATCCTGCCCTTTCTAATCCAGCCTCCACACTGCCCCTGGCTTTTTCTTTCCAAATTACAGATCTGATCACATAAGAGCTCTCTCTGAAGAGGTCTTTGCTGTCTACAGAACAAAGTACACATTCCTTGATGTTGCACTTAAGATCCTTCTCTATCTGACCCGACCGCTCTCTCCAGCTGTATCTCCTGCCACCCTACACATACCCTGGCTGTGCTCTCATCACACCTAACTACTTGCTGTCCCCTGAGAAGTCCCAATATTTTCTTTTAATAGGTTTTTTAGAATGGTTTTAGATTTAGAGAAAAGCTGAGCTAGTAGTACAGAGAGTTCCCATATATTCCTCTCCTCCCCTCCCCCTCTCCCCAGTTTTCTCCTATTATTAATATCTTGCGTGAGAGTGGTCCATTTGTTACTATTAATGAACCAGTATGGACACATTATTAGTAACTCAAGTCTGTAGTTTACATTAACATTTCTCTTTTCATTGGCAATACCAATATTTTAATACCCTTTAAAAATTTTTTATAATTGTTTCCTCTGCTTGCATATTCTTCCCCCGATTTTGGCAAGACTCTTTTCAAGGCCAAATATGAATATCACTCTTTCTGCAACGGTTTCTCTGTTCATTTTTTGAATGGGGGCTGGAAGAGAGGGAGCAGACTAACATTTTTATCGGGTGCCTAGTGCATGCCAATTACTAATATTCTTTTAAATCTCTCTACAATCCTATAAGATAGATATTATTATACACTGTTGACCGTGAGGAAACAGAGGTCAAATAAGTTGCCCAAAGCCCCACAGCTAGTAACCGGGTCTACACTCATGTCCGCTTGGCTCCAGAGTCTGTGCTCCCCGCCCTCTCCCATGGGGCTGTGCTCTTACCGCTAACCTGGCCTCCCTGCCTCCCCACTGCGGTGAGACCGACTGGCATGAGGAGCACAGTGCTTTTTAGCTCTGTGTCTCCTCTTCTAACACAGGGTTGGCACCTGCAGCAGCTCACCAGACCCATGGGCATGTGTCCTAAAGGCAGAGGGAATATAGGAAGAGGCATCAAATAGCGACGTTAATTCAGCAAATGCTTGTTGAATTCCTGCTATGTTCTGGGCTTGGTGGAGCAGAAGAGGAAAGTGATGGTGATGCCACCATGCAGGTTATAAATCCTGACCAAGCAGCGTCAGGGAGGCGACTGCTTCTCTGTTGATCCGTGAGCGGAAGGTAAGCGGCAGAAGAGCAGGGATTCTCTTCGTTCTCTGCTGCAGCTCCTAGGACGGTGCCTGGTGGTAACAGCTGTTTAATAAAGATGTGTGGGCCGAATCTTTGAATCCTATTGCAGGTTTGGGACACGTAAAATGACATTAAACTTCTCAGAGTTCCCTTGTGTGTTCAGTTAGTGGTCCTCCTCAGTTCTGGCAGCTTTCATTTTCCTGTGTTTGGTTCAGCGCGGCCCTGAATTGCAGGCTGTTTCCAAATTATCCCGGGCCCAGACTTAACCACACTGCGCCCAGAAGGTCTTCTGGACCAGAACTTCAGGAAAGGAGGAAGGAGGAGGAGTGCCTTGCCCCTGCTGTCCTTTAAGAGCTGATGGACAAATGACCCTTCCCGGAAGCTGCCGGGTGCTCCTGGACCTGGCCTTAGACCATAGTTCCAGAGGCCTGGCCTCACTTTGGGACTTCACACCAAAGGATGACCTCATTTTTCTTGAAAGAATTAAACCCAACACTCTAAATGTCGTGTGAGGGTAGTCATGTATTCAAATATTTTCCGTTAGTTTTCTTGAAGAATAAAATTATCTCGATCACAGTAACGTGTTTCAGACATTTGCTTACAAAACTTGCTTTCCTCCCCTCCCTGTGTGTCCTCTTCTCCCTTTCCTTCCCTGCCCCATTTTCCCTTGACTTCTCTGACCCTGTCTTTCCCTTACATTGCTCTGTCTCTCCTACGTGCTTATTGCCCCCAAGGTTCTTCTAAGTGTACCTCCCTCTCCATTTGTCCCATGTAAATAGATCGCTGTCGGTTCCTGGTGAATAACCAAGATCACAATTGTCTGGTTTGTGCCCACGGTGGCAGAATTGATGGACCTGTAGGCTGATTTTCATAAACCAGAGCTACCAAGCGTTTGAAAAACAGCCTTGTTTTTGCCAACTAAGGTGAACAAATATAGGACTAAGTTTAAATATCCATTAGGAGTTATTTTTGAAGTGATTGCTTCTAAATGAGAGGCGTTTGAAAATCTCACAGCTTTCTTTACAAGTGAATTCCAAAGTCATGTATTTGCTGGTGTCTGCTGATTAATTACGATCCTGTGACACCATGAAAAGCTCTGGTGGTTGGTTCTGTGCAGCTGTGGAGAAAAGGAAAGCAAGGCCGGGTGACTTTGCCAACTCTTTCAGGAGAGCGAGGATTCAGGCAGAGGGAGGTATTTTTTTCACTCTGGCAGTCACCACATAAGAACAGAAGCCTCAGCCAGACCCATTTCTCCAGACTGCACGACGGGTGGTTTGGGTCCCCGCGGGGGTGTGGTGAAGTAGTGATATTTGATCTGTTGCTTCTGAAATAACAGATCCATTATTAGACAAAGCATTTTCAGTCTCCACATCGAGACTTGTGTGCATTCTCCTGTACAATTACTTCTGTTTAGAAAAAAAATTACATACAGTAAAGTAACCAAAATTTATTTTGATTCTCTAAACAAAAGGTGCTCAACATATATTTGTTGTTGGTAATTGCAGGTGTCTGACCCAGGAAAACCCACCAGTTCATATCCATTTAGGGTCTGATGCCTCTGGATCCCTTTGAACTGGGCCTCCCGCTTTTTCTCATCACTCCCTTCTGTGTTTAACCCTTTTTTTTTTTTAGGATGATTAGCCCTGAGCTAACTACCGCCAATCCTCCTCTTTTTGCTGAGGAAGACTGGCCCTGATCTAATATCCATGCCCATCTTCCTCTACTTTCTATGTGGGACGCCTACCACAGCATGGCTTTTGCCAAGTGGTGCCATGTCCGCACCCGGGATCTGAACTGGTGAACCCCAGACGGCCGAGAAGCGGAATGTGTGAACTTAACCGCTGCGTCACTGGGCCAGCCCAGCCGTGTTTGACTCTTAATTATGCTCCTCGTTGATAGGAGAGAAGGAAAAGAAAAAGTTGAATCTTGTTGCTTAGAAAGAATCATCTGCAGCTCTGGTGAAGATACAAGAGGGAAAGAAAACAAACCAATTATTAAAATCCACTTTCAAAGTTCTCCATGTGTTTATCTGCACTTGCTTTGCTCGCCTGCCTCCTCCGCTTGGTTTAGATAAGGGGAACTGAAGAATTTCCTCCTCTTTCTGCTTGGCGCTAGCTAAGGACAAGGCGTCTCATCCACACGCGCGTTCATGTTCTTTCTCTGCTGCAGGTTTGTGCTCCTCACAAAGGCCTTGCTCATGTCATCACTGAGTATGAACCCAAGATACACAGACATGCACATGCCACACACTTGCAGATGGCCTGTGTCATGTGTCTGTGGAACTGTGGCCTTCCTTCTAAATATAGGCAGCTAGAGGTAGAATAGGATTTTATTTCTCTTCTTAATTCTAATATATAATGTCATGTAAGAGTCTGAAAGTGCAGTGTGTCTGCTTGCTGCTTCCATCTGGCATCTCCGTGAAGATCTGCTAAGAAACAGAAGTAGCTCACAAACTTCACTATCCAGTGTTGGCAAAGGCCAGCATCACTGTGACCTGCTTCTTTTCTCACTCCTCTTCTGATAAAACTAGACATGTAAGCCAGTTTAGACTCTCAGACCATTGATTTTTCCTATGTAGCAAGTCTTTAAAAGGTGCATTTTTGGGCCTGGCCCTGTGGCCTAGTGGTTAAGGTTCCGTCCCCTCTGCTTCAGCAGCCCAGGTTCTCGAGTTTGGATCCCAGGTGTGGATCTGCTCCACTCTCCAGCCGTGCTGTGGTGGTGTCCCACATAGAAAAAAATAGAGACAGATTGGCACAGATGTTAGCTTGGGGCTAATCGTTCTCAAGCAAAAAAACAGGAGGATTGGCAATGGGTGTTAGCTCAGGGCGAATCTTCCTCAGCAAAAAAAAGGTACAAATATAGAGAAAGATGTTTGCATTTCTTTGCTAAAATCTATTTTTAGGTTGTAGCTAATGAGCTCTGATGATTGTCTGATCCCAGAGCAGTTGCCTTTTTTTGGGATTGTGCACAGAGCCCAGAGCACAGGTATGGATTAAGGACATAGGTTTCTCGCCACTTGCCGTGTCCTCCAAAACCAACAGGCTTTTCTGCAGAGAGAGCAGAGCCACATTCTGCAGGTGTCTGTTTTCTTTGAGGGGAATATTTTGAGGAAACCTAAAAGGGAGGAACTGAGCATTTAGGAAAAATATATTTTCACAGCAGGATATTGCTTTTTCTCCTTTTTGGTTTAGGTCTTTCATTTGTTACAAGCCTTCTCAGACTCCAAATACAGAATGAATGCGTACTTTCAGCAGGAGCTGGCTGACGTCGCTGTTTGTACTAAAGCCAAACTCTGGCTGGCCAAGAGGTATGTTAAAACCCCTCGTGAGCAGGGAGTTATCAGGGGTTAGGAATACATTGGAGAATTGCTCTTTCTAGTTGTGGGAGTTTTAAAAGTCGTTGGCATGAGTTTTCTAAACTTATTGGAGTATTTATCTTTTTAGAACTTTGGGTTGTGGTAAAGAAAGAAAAACATTTTCTCAACAATTTTTCTAAAACTGCCATGTAGCTGAGGGGCATGTAATATGACTTTTTATCTGTCTACTAATCAGCTTGTTTTTATTAATACCTGCTATGTACCCAACCTGTGTTAGATATTATAACAATGAAAGGCAGTAATTGACTAAATTATGTAGTACAAACTCTTAGGTGCCATGACAACTCAGAAATTAGAGACAGGTGTAAAACTTGAGCAAGCACCAAGGGACAGATAGGGTGTGAATAAGAAGATGACATGGAAGTTCCCATTTTAGGTTGGTAGGAGAGTAGCTTGAATAAGCAATGCAAAGAAGGGTGGATACATATATTTGTTTAGTCCTTGGCATTGTTAGTTTATTTTAGAACTTAGAATATTTCCTATGTAAAAGATGGAGTAAGAAGAATTTCTCATTTACTACATAGGAAATCCTCTCTGTAATGCTGTGTTCAAAATCCATGTCACAGGACTCTGATGTTGGTAGGACAGTGTTACTGCAAGTGTTACTGCCTCCTGCTATGTCCTCTTTAAGTTCCAGCAGAGTGGATCCAGTGGAGGCCCACATGCCACCATATTCCATGCCATAGTGTGTTGCGTTTGATTGAGAATCAGAATATTGACTGTCTAACATAGCAGCCTCTTTTTTTATTTTTTGAAAAATGTGCTTTTGGGGCCAGCCCCATGGCCTAGTGGTTAAGTTCAGCACACTCTGCTTTGGCAGCCTGGGTTCAGTTCCTGGGCACGGACCTATACCACTCATTAGCAGGCATGCTATGGCGGTGCCCCACATGTAAAATAGAGGAAGACTAGCACAGATGTTGGCTCAGGGTGAATCTTCCTGAAGCAAAATGAGGAAGATTGGCAACGAATGTTTGCTCAGGGCAAATCTTCCTCAGCAAAAATAAATAAATAAAATGTGCTTTTGTTTACTTTTGTTGGGCTTCCCATCTTATATGGTAAGGCAAGCCATGGGCAGTATGAGGCCTGCAAATCACTATAATTCAACAAAGTACTGTTGAGCACAGGCTGCACACTAGCCTTCATGTTAGAAGATGTAGGAATGCAAAGATATAGAAGAACTAGTCCTGGTTTCAAGGAGTTCACATCCAGGAGGTGAGAAAGATATGTAAGTAAATAATTTTCATCCAATATGGTAAGTGTAATAATACATGTATGTAGTAGGTACAGGAGTAGCCCAGAGGAAGGGCAGGAGAGGGCTGGCATTGAACCAGCCTTCAAGAGATGAGTAGGGTGGCCAGGGCAAGGAGGGGCATTGCAGGCTCAGGTAATGTCATAGGCAAAGATGTGGTGGTATAGCATGGTGAATATGGAGAACTCTAAAGATGTTAGCTCTTCTGGAACCTAAAGTATAAGGCACATGTAGCAGAGAACGAGGCCGAGGAAATACGTGAAGACCACACAGTAAAGCTCCTGAAGGAAATGATACGCGAGAGTCCACATTTGTCTAAGCACCTATAGCTTTGGACAGGGGTATTGATGGGGAAATTTTCTAGTGTCTGATGCCAGTAAAGTGATGGTTGACCTCTCAGTTTTAGTCCAATTTTTGTTTTCTCTCTTTTATTTAGAGAGAAGGAGTTGATTGACCATAAATTGCTTCCCTAAGCCTAGTATCATTTGCCTTCTTTCTAGCTATTAGACAGCTTCCCCAAAATTTCTTTTTTGGGAGAACAGGGAATTATGACCACATTTGTGCTCTCATCTGTTTACCAATTAGTAGGCCAGGTCCTTTTAGCTATTATTTCTAGGGATCAGGAATTCAGGGCTCTCCAGAAACCATCCTGTTGAAACCCCTGCTTCCAGCCAGACTGCCAAGATGGAATCCTAAACCTCCTGTTCTTAAAGCACTATAAGGAAGGAGTTTCTACCCTCTTAGCTTGCTGCCCCTGCCATAGAAATTCATCCTCCACTGGCTTCCTGAGTCCGTTCCTTCTTGTTGGATGGGAAGAAAGAAGTTGATGGAGTAACAGGCCAACCGTCTGAATGGACCTTCATGTTGTGCAATACCTGAAGACGGATGACAAAGCCGCCGTCAGCCTCCTCTTTAGCCAGAGAAGTCCTTCTGACCTCTTTTAATCTTCCCTGTGACCCTATTGCAGTTTTCTAGTCAGGCTTTTCATCATCATCACCCTCTTTCCACTCACCTCCTCTCATTTTTCTCCATGATTTTCCAGCCCTAGAAAACAAAGGCATGAATCACCGCAGTTCGCTGGGTTTCCACCTTCCTTGCCGAGAGTCCAGGAAAGCCACTTTTATGTTTCCAGTACAGTCAACTCTTTATTATCCAAGTGTGAACTTCACACTTCGTGGGTGGTCTGTAGATGGTTCATAACACCAGGCTTCCTCTTGGTCCTCAACACACTCTTTTACCCCGTTAATCAGGATGTGTTCAGAGCCTGAAATAAAGCTTGGGAGGAAAACACACCGCCAGAGCACAATACATTCCAACGCTATGTATCCATTTTTCTGTATTATTCACGTCATTGACACAATAACCTTGAGGTTCTTGAATAGGAAAGTAGAGAATTGGATATAAGTGATGCATCTTCAGCCTGTCACACTCCTGCCCTGTCCCTGAGAGCCTTGCCCCTGGAAGTGCTAATAGCTCCTTGCTCACGTGAGCCCGTTCTGGGTCCTAGTGGGCCCTTCTCAAAGCTGACCACTGTCTTCACCAGCTCACCTGCCTTTCCCATGAAAGAGGTTATGATGCCCAGTATGCCAAATTCACTCTGAAGAGGCTTCTTTATGTCCCTAGCAATTTACATTTGAAAGAAGAATAAATTTTCCTTTAGGCCTACTAGGATTTTCTGTATCTTTTGAGTATAAACTATGAAACATTAACGTTATTGGGGAAAAAAAATGTTGGTTTAAATTTTAGCACCAATACCTTTTTTCTTCTACAGTTTATTTGCTCATTAGCCTGAGTTCTTTCAGTCCAATAAGTACAAAAACATTAGTGAGGGTGTCATTTATTTGTCCTTTTATTCCCAAAGAAGGTTTTTTTTAAAAAAAAGTTCATCGGAGCCATTGGATAACCAATTTAGTTTTTAAAATTTTGACCCTGAAATTGAGGGCACATAAAATAAAGGCTTTTGTCATATATTTATGCTTTGACTTTGCAGGATTAATAGGGATTTATATGAGGCGGTTAAGCAATAGCCATGGAGTTGTTGGGGAATTTCTGGTGATGAATGGCCAGCTGGCAACACAGCCTGAGAAGAGGCCTGGGCTTCTGCTCTTACAGGCCGCTTTTCATTCCAAGATGTCAAAGTCTTTATGGAAATCAGCTCGTTAATCCTTCCAGTCCCTTCCTTCCCCTTTTTCCTCCATCTCTCCCTCCTCAATCCAGTTTACTGTCTGTCTCTTGGTGAGAAAGCAGTTTACCAACTACTGAAGGAAAACTAAGCTGACTCAGGCCAGAAACCGAGTGAGAAGAGGGGTCAGCTGCTGGCCTGGAGAGGCTGGCTGTGGGCGCCAGGAAAGGGCAATCAGCGCCGTCCCCACTTGGGGCCCCATCTGCCATCCTTGATATATGCAGATTCCAGCTCTGCTGTCCCGGCTGGATCACAGGCCCTGCCTAAATAGGAAGGAGTTTTTAAAAGCCCTGTCAAGTAGGACTAAGGGGAGAAAAGGTTTATTTACTTTGAGAGTTGGAATTATTATTATATTGGGCTTAAAATTTTTCAGAAATCAATTTGGTTATCTAGTGTTTCCTTTGGTTATAAAAGGAAAAAAGTGTGTGTGTGTGTGTGTGTGTGTTTTCCTTTTAGTAAATGTGGTGAAATAAATGGAGTATCAGACCTAAGTACCATGGGTGATGTTATGACCAGGAAGAAAAATGTGTCCTACTGAGTTCTTTTCACTTTATTTTCTTGATTGTCAGTGTAGTGTATGCTTGTCATAGAAAATGAGTCAAGTATAAAATTGGAAAAGAAGAGAATATAAGTCTACTCTTACCAACATCCAGTGGAAACCACTATTATTGGTTAACAGTTTTATGCATGTAGTGACTTCATCATTTCTCCTATACTTTTTTTTTAATGTAGTTGAGGTTATACTATATATATATGTAAAGTGATAGCTAGCTTTTCACTTAACAGTATCATGAAAGCAATTGTTGTTATTATTAGAAACTCTTTATGGTATAGCCACTACGGAAAATACTATGGTGTTTCCTCAAAAAATTAAAAATAGAATTACCATATGCTCCAGCAATTCCACTTCCAGTATACACCCAAACGAATTGAAAACAGAGTCTTGAAGAGATATTTGTACATTCATGTTCATAGCTGCATTATTCACCATAGCCACAAGGTAGGAGTAACCCAGGTGTCTGCTGATGGATGAATAGATGATCAAAATGTGGTGTATATGGACAATGGAATATTATTCAGCCTTAAAAAGAAAGCAAATTCTAACACATGCCACAACCTGGGTGAACTTCCAGGACATTATGCTAAGTGAAATAAGCCAGTCACAAAAAGACAAACACTATATGATTCCACTTATAGGAGGTACCTAGAGTGGTCATACTCATAGAAACAGCAATAGAAGGGTGGTTGCCAGGGGCTAGAGGACGGGGAATGGGGAGTTAATATTTAATGGATATAGACTTTTAGTTTTACAAGATGAAAAGAGTTCTAGAGATTAGATGTACAACAGTGTGAATGTGCTTAACACTACTGAACTATAGACTTAAAATAGTTAAGATGGTAAATTTTATATTATGTGTATTTTATCACAATTAAAAAAATAATTTATTTAATGACAAACATTAAAAAAACTCTTTAGGGCCAGCCCTGTGGCCTAGTGTT